CCTTACACTCGTGTTGTGAGTGAAACCCATCTGGTATTTTTCTTTTTTTTAAGATTTATTTATTCATGCATGCAGAACTGGGGTATAGGCCAAGGACATAAAGGGGAGCAGAACAGGCAGTTCAAGTGAAATACACAGCTGAGGTAGGTCAGGAGAGGTCTCCCTCACTATGTGGGTCTACCTCCCTGGCCAGGATTGAACTCTTACTGCAGTGGCTGCAGTTAGCTTGCTGTTAGCTCCATAGTGTTGTGCTTTTATCCTGTTGCGCCACCAGGGAGGACCCTGTGTTTCTTTTTCTTTCTGCCTTATTTCACTATGCATGACCCCTTCCAGCTCCATCCATCACATAGGAAATTTCTAATTCATGTGTTACTGGAAACAACTCTGAGAATTACTGAACTGAAAAACAGCACCTCATCCTCTCCTGGTAGCATCTTTTAGGTTACTGACACATGTATAACCTGATAGATGAGGTACTGGAAACAGGTCAGTGATCTGTATCTGACTCCTGTACTTTTATTGCCATTTTAACTTCAATCAGAATATCAGCAAAAGCCACCAAGTGAATACGCTTCTGTCTTTTGGGGTTTGTTCTGTCTTCTAGGCTAGCCTGAAAGCTGACTCCATAAATAAGCCCTTCCCACAGCGATGTCAAGACTTGGTTAAAGTCATTGAGGATTTTCCAGCAAAGGTACAGACAGTTCTGCTAGTCTCTAGACAGTATGTCTCATATACGCTTTGAAAAACATTATTGTAGTCCCTGCTTCCCACCTCTGCACATTGACCTGTACAGAAGCCTAAACCAGTATTGTGACATATGTTTATGGTTATATGTAGTGCTCCTGCCTACTTGGGGCCCTTGGTAATGTCTGGAGACCTTTTAAGTTGTCACATGGAAGTGGCACTACTTTCATCACATGGGTGGAAACCAGGCATGCCTATAACTAGCCCCCAATACACAGGATAGCCCACACAACAAAGAAATGTGTCACCCAAAATAGCAGCAGTACCAGAATTCAGAAATGCTGGGTTTTTTATGTCTCATCTGGCATTACCAAAGAGTAATAAGTTAAGTTCAAGAAGCTAACCTAGACAAGGAGGTAATACCAAATAGCAGTGAGTCAGAGTTTTAGGAGCTTACTCTGAGAAAGACAAGACATTGCCACCCTTGTTAATAGAATTCTTTTCAGATCAGAAATTTAAGAAAAATAGAATCTCTTAATCAGACTGACTCGTTTGACCCAGATATAAAGCAGTACTGCTTGGCTCACCACATAACTACAATGGAAAAATCCAAAGCTGCCCCTCTCATCAGCGCTACCTCACCAGGGTCCCTGTGGGTGTTGGTCTGGTATGAACTGGGAGGGCAGGGCCAGTGAGGGCAGTGGGCAGCATGTGGTACAAGATGAGCTGGGAGGCCTTTGTGGTGCACAGCCCTGCAGAGGGCAATGGTCTTCAGCTAGCCTATCTGAAGGCTCACCAGCTCACTATTTCAGGAGCTGCACTCCATCTTCCCATGGCTGGTAGAGAGCATCTTCGGCAGCTTGGACGGCATCCTCCTTGGCTGGAACCTTCGCTGCCTACAGGGACGTGTGAGCCCTGTAGAGTACAGCATTGCAATGGAATTTCTAGACCCTGGGTATGTAGGTTTGTCATGTAAGAGGGACTGGATGTTTGTGTATAACAATCCTATTTTTAAATCACTTCATTTCGCAAAGTTAAACAGTCAAAAACTAATGGTTTGCAGTTCATTTGCTCTGTTTTTTGTTTGTTTAATTTCATGTTCAGTGGCCCAATGATGAAGTTGGTTTATAAACTTCAAGCTGAAGACTATAAGTTTGACTTTCCTGTCTCCTACCTACCAGTAAGTAAGCCATGGTGGTAAGAGCTAGGCCTGGGGCAGAGAGTCCTGCACAGAGACTGCAGTATGATGGATGGGCAGGGGCTCACTGACAATGGACAGGAGAAAGCCATGGTGTCTGTTCAGGGCTCAGGGGGCAACAGAAATCAGAATGCCGATGGTTAGTTTTTTACAAAATCATTTCTAACTTTGCCAGTGACGAAGGCACCATACTGCCTGGCTTGTGTGTGATTGCTTTGTTTTTATGAGTCTGTAGTCCTTCTGGGGCAAATGAAAGGATTATTTGAGAAACCAAGGAGGTGGGGTTCAATAGGTGCCGTGCAAGGCTAAGATGCACAACCATTGTCCTTGCCGCTGTGGATCATTATGAGGATGGTATGAGAGAGTGTGAAGTTCTCGAGCTCTGCTGCTTGAGTGCTATGCAGAGGACAGTACTGTTCCCACGGCAGGAACTGTGTGCCTGTGCTCCTCAGCAGCCTTCACAGAGGGCCACATCAGAAGGCTCTGCACGAACCTGCCCACGAGCGCACGTCCCTCTCCACAGGGCCCTGTGAAGGCGTCCATCCAGGAGCGTGTGCTTCCTGACAGCCCCTTATACCACAACAAGGTTCAGTTCCCTGCGACTGGGGGACTTGGCCTGCACCTGGCCCTCAGTATCCTTTGTCCAGTGGATGGGGGAGCTGTGGGTGGGGAAACTGGGTGGCCAGCACAATGCTGAGGTGTGGTCCGCCACCGCTGCCTGTTTGGCCCCTGACATTTGCCATCAGATCCATTCGAGTATTACATGTTCTTCTTTGCTTTGAGCCTCATCACACAAAAGGTACGGAGGAGGTCCTCTGAGCACGGTCAGCCTTATGAAAGTCCCCAGGGAAGGGTGGTGAGCTGTGGCCTAGGGCTCTAGTTTTCACAGAGCAGGGGGATCTTGAGACTCTCCTAGGGGCCAACTGTTGGCCTTTATCTTTTTTCATTTCTCTTTTCCCTGTTGACCTTTATCTTTTTTCATTTCTCTTTTCCCTACTCACCTGGTTTCTGTGTATCCTTCCTTCCTTCCTCTAACTTCTGCCTTATGGACAGCTTTGCTTAGGACCATAGGCTAGAGGGCAGACTTTGACAGGTGATAATGGGGTGATCTCACCACCCAAGTGGTGAAAAGGGAGACTTCCCACAGGAGGTACTTGCTGGGCATGGAGGCAGGGGGGTTGAAATCTGGCCAGAACTGAGCAGGTCTAATCAGGCTTTCTTTAGTAGGACTTATTTCCTGGTATCACCTACGTAGTGTTATGCATCAGACCCGTGATTGCTGGGGCTTGGCAGCAGGGCCAAGCCTAGAGCCACATGCTAACACTAGTTTTGGTTTCCAGCCACTACCAGGGGCTCTTCATGTCCGTACTTCAGACTGTGCCTATTTCATCCTAGTGGACAGGTACCTGTCATGGTTCCTGCCCACAGAAGGCAGCGTGCTCCCTCCACTCTCCTCCAGCCCTGGGGGACATAGCCCCTCACCAGCTCCCAGGTAAGGTTCTTCTGCTGCTGGCTTTGGATAGTACTTAAGGTATCCTTGCCTGCTGCTGTCATTAAGGCCTCATCCTTCCATGAGAGAGCAGTCTAGTCAGTGCATTGCTTTTAAGGGCAGTAGTTCTACGTTTTGCCCAGGGTTCCTCAGGTTTTTTAGGGACGGGTAGAAAAATCAAGCAGTTTTAAGAAGCGTTAAGGGAAAATCCAAAGGCTGGGAGCCTAGATCTGATGTTCTTGAAACAGTCATTATCTTCCCAGCTTTATAGTCACAGAAAACTCCCCAATATTTTTTTATGCTTGAGATTGCCCAATCTAGTTGCTATGACGCAGACTGGATAGTGGGGACAGGAGGATTTCAGTAGCCATCACCGAAGCGGTTGGGCCCTGTGGCTACATTGAGGAGGCCTCACTCTGGGTATGGAAATAGGTTGTGTTCTACCTGTAGCAGTCCTCACTGTACCTGATATCCAAGATCCACACCAAGGTGGTGAGCAGAGTCGCAGAGGACTTGAAGCTTTGTCATAAGAGGTGACAGTATTGGTAATTGATGGCTGTAGAGAAAAAAGATTTATAGCAGGCTGAAGAACGTTGACCCAATGAGTGAATAAGATTAGTAGGAATTTGTGTGGACCAGAGGACCAGGTCTTGGCCTAAGTTGGTGACCTTGGGGTGAAGATACTTTTGTGCTAGTCCAAACTGACTGAGCTGTTCAGGAGGGTTTTCGCATCCAGCTCTTTCCAAAATGAACTGAGGCCTTTAGCCTTTTACCTCTGGCCAGCTCCATCTAGGAAAGAAGAAACCAAATGGTTTCTTGGCCCAGATTTGTTGGCTTGTTTTAACATGAAAGTCCAGATATACAGAAACATTGCCAGGTATAACAAAGAACTTAATAAGCCCCTCACCAAGATTTTTGATTTATTCTCTCTGTATAGTATTTTCTGGGTTGTCCAGATAAGATACAGGCATGATATCCTGTACCTAAAGGGAGTGCACCTACATGATCACTGCATTTCTGTCTAAATTAGAAAGCTAGTATCATACCACCATCTAATTCTCAAAACCCACTTGGTTTTCACCATCTACCCTACTGATGACCTTTACCTGATGGGTTTCAGTGCAGAGTCCCTTGCTCTTGCAGTTGTCTGTCTAGTACCCTTCCATCTGGGGTGGTCCCTCAATCTTTTCCAACCTGACACCTTTAAAGCATGCAGCCAGGGTATGTCAGCATGCTCTGAACGTGGGTTCTGTGGTGTTAACCCCGTGGTTGGGCTCAGGTTGGGTGCTTCTGGCAGGAACATTGTAGTGGTAGCTGATGGGTGTCCATGTGCCCCAGCATAGGCACTGTTGGCTTGAGCACTGGGCCAAGGGAGTGTTGACACTAAACTGTGAAGTTAAATTCATGAGTGTCTAAACTGATCAACACGAGGGGTCTAGTGAGACTGTAGCCTCTAGTGTTAGAGGAGAGTTTTCTTCCCTGCTTATCTATATGTATATCATTATGGACGTAGAAGTCATTGCATGATTCAGCATTACTTTTCATGACCAGATTGCCCCTGGTTAACGGCAGTGGGAGCTGAAGGTGTGTTTATCTACCTTAGGACACCGGCCATGCCCTTCGCTTCCTACGGCCTCCACCATACCAGCCTCCTGAAGCGACACATCTCTCACCAGACGTCTGTGAATGCGGACCCTGCCTCCCATGAGATCTGGAGATCAGAAACCCTGCTCCAGGTGAGTACTGGAGCAGCTTTTCTCTGCTTCGATGTCCAAATGAACTGCTTAGCCACCTTCCACTCACTTGGGGGTCCCATGTTGGGAGTGTTTCTTTTTTGGTCTTTTCTGCTATGACATTTTAAAAAAGAATTGTCTCTTTCTTGTCTCACATGTCTAACCTATGTCACTGGCAGTGTTTTTCATCCTACAATTCCTGGTACATAGAGTTTTGGTTTTTGTCATGGTGATACAGTCATTGCCAAATCTTTTATTTTCCCATAGAACTCAGTAGAGGTTTTCCCCTACCCACACTTCCTCTCTCACATCTTTGGAGATGTTTTCTAAGACACCCATCACATGGCTGTTAAGCCCTGGGAGGGCCTATGAGCCTTTACCTTGATTGGCAGCAGCCTGTGGTTCTATCATGCCAGGGGACCTTGATGGGAGGTAGCTGTACCACTTTTCTGCGCTTGTCTAGGCTCCAGCATCCCTCACAGGGGTAGGCTGGCTCAGCACACAGCAATGGCTGCCTCCTAGGTCTGACTATCAAGAACAGTCAGAGAGTTTGACTGGTTCTGACACTGGATTCTGGGGTTCACTTGGTAGCTACAAGTCTCACTTGTTGATAACCTGTATTGTGGATGAGATAGATTGTGTCCTTTCTACCCACACTTAACTGTGGACATCGGGGACACTGCTGCTTTAGAGGTGTCCGCCAAACTGTTGCAGTGGACATGGACTCAACAGAGCAGAACTAGAGAGCTGTTTCCAGGATCAAAACACCAATGCTGTTTTGTTTTTTCTTATCTAAATAATTTTTTTTAATTGTGGGAAAATACACAAAACAAAGGTTAGCACCCTTACTGTTTTTTAAATATGCAATTCAGTAGTGTTAAGCTTTGTTATATAATGGATTCTTGTAAAACTGAAGCTCTGTTCCCACTTAAACAGTAATTTCCTTATTTTCCCCTCCTCCCAGCCTCTGGCAACCAACATTCTAACTCTATTTCTGATTTCACTTAGTGTATTGTCTTCAGGGTTCATCAGTGCTGTAGCATGTACGAGAATTTTCTCTTTTCAGGTTGGGTAATATTCCTTTGTATGGACATAGTACACCCTGTTTATACATTCATCATCATAGATATGGGCTGCGTCCATGTTTAACTATTTGTGATAATGTTGCTATGGAAATGGGTATACAAACATTTCTCTTTGATATTCTGCTTTTGATTATTTTGCACATACTCAGAATTGCTGGAATGTATGGTAATTCTCTTAATTATTTTTGGAGGAACTGCCATAATGTTTTCCAGAGCCATACCCCTCCACTTTCCCACTAGCGAAGCATAAGGATTACAGCTGCCCCATATCCTCGCTAGTGCTTGTTGTTTTCTACTGACTGTAGCTGATCTAACAGGAGATTGTATGGTAGCCCATCCTGTCCCTAGTTTTGGTAGCCCTGGGTGAACCGGTCATCCAAAAATATTTGGAGAGAGATCATATTCACATAACTTTTGTTATATTTCATTATTAACTACTATTGTTAATATCTTGCTGTGCCTAATGTGTGAATTAAATTTATTATGAATATAGAGGTGTAAGAAAACTTAGTATGTTTTTTTTAAAGATTTTATTTATTTATGCATACAGAAATGGGATACATACTAGAGGTACAGGGGTGGCGAGAGGACTCACGAGAGTGGGGGAGCAGAATAGGCAGATGGACAAAGTACACTGCTGAGGGGAGCAGCAGGTGAGACAGGGCAAGAGAGGAGAGGTCCGCTGTGGACCACCTCCGGGGCGGGGATCAAACTCGCACGAGGCAGCCAAGGCTTGGCTTAGCTTCCTAGGGCAGCGCTCCAACCCTGTGGGCCACCAGAGAGGGCCCAAGAAAACAGTACCTAAAGGGCTAGGAGCTGCGTTCTAAGTAGCTACTGTCCCACAAATTAGTGAGGGTCTGTTGTCTCTCATCATGGTTTGGATTTACATTGTCCTAATAGTGATGTTGAACATCTTTTCATGTCCTCATCTGTGTAGGTCCATTGCCCATTTTAAAACTGGGTTGTTGATGCTTTTGTCGAATATTAGGAGTTCTTGATATGTACTGGATATTAATACCTTCCCAGAAATGTGATTCGTAAATATTCTCCCCCATTCCATGAATTTTCTGTTAATAGTGTATTTTGATGTACAGTTTTTAATTTTCATAAAGTTCAATTTAACTTTTTTTTTTTTTAAGTATCATTGGTGGTTTTTTTTTTTTTTTAAGATTGTTTTAATTTATGCATACACAACTGGGGTGCAAGCTAGAGGTGTGGGGGGTGAGAGGATTCACCAAAGACATAGAGGGGAGCAGAACAGATAGTTCAAGTGAGGGGAGCAGCAGGTGGGTCAGGGGAGGTCTGCCTCTCCATGTGGATCACCTCCCTGGCCAGGGATTGAACTCATGTTGCAGTGGCTGCGATAGCTTCACAGTGCTGTGCTTTAACACCTTGCGCCACCAGGGAGGGCCCTAGGTTTTTATTTTTTTGGCCTGTGCTTTTGGAGTCAGATCTAATAAATCATTTTTAAATTCACTGTCACACCCATGCTATCTTCTAAGGCTTTTATACTTTAGACTCTTACATTTAGGTGTTTCATTTTTCTTGATTATTTTTTATGTGACGGCAGAGACCCACTTCCTTCATTGCATGTGGCTATAGAAAAGGACCTGTATTGAAAGGACTGCCCTTTCCCTGTTGAACATTTTGACACCTTTGTCAAAAGTCACTGACCATCTACTACTGCTTTCTTGCAGGTTTTTGTTGAAATGTGGCTTCATCATTATTCCTTGGAGATGTACCAAAAAATGCAGTCCCCACACGCCAAGGTATGTAGCTGCAGCTTTCCTTCCCATTTCCTGCTTTAACCCTGGTGTGCTTGGTCAGTCTACTGCTTTTTGTCCTCGAGTTCATTTAGTTTTCAAGGACTGAATGGTGGGAAGCAGAAAACTTCCGTCACCTCACTCTCAGCTGCTGAAAAGCAGGTGGGTTTTGTTCTGTGATGAACTTGCGCCACTGAGGTCTGGAGGCCTGTCTTCTCTGGGGTCTTCCCCATACTGCCTGCAGTGCTTCCTATCTGGCAGTGGGAATAGAGAAGATTGTGGCACTCATGCTCTGGGACTCACATCCTGTCCCCTCTACCATCACAGCATTTCCTGCTTTCCTCTTGAGGTGACGCTCAACAGCCCTCCCCACCCTTCTGTGTTTGCTGCCCTCCACATCCAGATCATCTGTGGGCAGGCACTTGTGGTGGGTGGAGTCTGATGCCTTTTGCATGTGGCCTGTGCCTCCTCGGAGCCCTTCTAGGTTCACTCTCCTTGGGGCCATGATCCCCTGGATTCATCAGGGTGGTTTGGTCCAGGTAGTAGATGACCAGATGGGCACTTAGATTTATACTCTGTAAGAGTTTGAATCCTGTGTTCCTAGGCCCTGTTAATGGCAGCATCAGGTCTCATAGTTCTTCAGTCTGTACTTCAGTACATCAGTTTCTTCCTTAGACTTTGTTTTTGTCACTGTCAGACAAAATTTGAGGCTTACTAAAGAATTAAATATTAAGAATCTGGGCCCTCCCTGGGGTCATAAGGGGTTACAGCACAGCCATATAGAACTGTCTGCAGCCACTGCAGTGCGAGTACGATCCCCAGCCAGGGAAGTGACTCCTGTTGTTTGGCAGACCTCCTGTCCCGCCTGCTGCTCCCCTCAGCAGTATATTTCATTCAGTCTGCCTTTTCTACTCCCCACTCTATCTGGTGAATCCTTTCACCGCCCCCTGCAACTTTGGCCTATACCCCAGTTCTTATATGCATAAATAAATAAATATTTTTTAAAAAGAATTAAGAATATGTGTTAAATCGAGGACAACAGGGCCTCCCTGGGGACCTAGGGCTTAAGTCTCAGTGCTATCATGCTCACAGACTGAGTTCAGTTCCCAGCCAGGGAGCTAACCCTCATGTGGTGCAGCAGACCGTGCCTGCTGCTCCCCTCAGCAGTGTACTGCAGTAGATCTGCCTCTCTGCTCCACACTCTGTCTCTGGTGAATCTTCTCACCCTCCTTGCCACCCCTCCCCACACCTCTGACCTATACTCCAGTTCTTCTATGCAATAAATATTTTTATTAAACAAGGAACTAAAATCTATTAAAAAGGGGAGGGGAGGATAGATAGTAGCCTGCAACTTTCCCCCTGTAGTTCTGCTCTTGCTGCAGCATCTCAGCAGCCAGTTCCATGACTACAGTGCTCTCGCATATGGAGACTTGGGATGCAGCCCCCACTGCAGCTCTCTTAGAGTACAGAGCATCCCAGACTCCACCCTTGGTACAATATAGGAGGGGGCAAGGAGTAGGACTCCACCTTGGGCTGCTTGAGTCACAAAGCACCTGCACTGCCTTTTCTGCTCCCAGAATGACAGAATGGCAATGCTTTGCTTGTAAGCTTGGTCTTGGAGAGGTAAGGACGGCATCACTGCAGTACCCTCCTGCCTGTACAGCCTATTTTCTGAGCTTCCACTGTAATTTTTAGCAGTCAATCTGTCAAAAGGCTCTCTGTTTCCTGTGAGGATTCTGATTCTGCATGGGGAAGGGGCAGAGAGCTTTCCTTTCCAGGATTTCCCATTGCCCACATTTGGTTCCTCTTGGCCAGACCTCAGGGTGGGTGAGAGCTGCTCAGAATGATTGGCAGTGGTGAGATAATCATGAGGTCCCCACCAGGTGTCCAACCAGAACAGATCTGCCTTTTGCCTCATATTCAGGCACCAGTGAGGGAGAGGCAGCCAGGAAGGCCTGCTTTATTCTCAGCCCCTTCCTGCTTACCCAGGTCTGCGCTGCACCAGACAATAATCCTTGCCAGTGCTGGTGTAGCCCTGAGGTCATTGTTTCCCTGATTATAGGGATGTAGCAAATCCAGCTCCTAGAAGTTCAACAGTTATGCGTGGCTGGGCTGGCTCCAGCATGCCTGCCCTCCTTAGAGACTGCTACTCCACCCCCATTTTGTTGAGCAGCAATTCTCAGCCACAGCCCTGCAGGCCTCTGTGTGCCTACTATATGTCTCTACAGGCTAGGGCAGGACCCAGCAGGGAACTGTGCTCATCACTGCCTTACTGAGAACTGCAGGTGAGCCCAGGGTCTGGCCTGGAGAGAAGCTGCAGAGGGCCTGCATCTTGCCATGCTCCTCCCCCCACTCTGTGTGTCTCTAACTGTGCCTGTCTCCTCAGTCTGGCATGTGCCTTCTGACTCTCCTGTGTGAAACATGCTTTTCAGGAGGGAGGCATGGCTCTTGCAGGGTAGGACATGTGCCTGCTGTGGGCTGCACTTGGCTGCAGGGAGTGCTTCACAGTAGAATTCAGTGCTGCCAGGAGGTAGGGACCCCCTCTGGGGTGCGGGACCAAACAGCATATCACTCAGCTGTCATCCCACTGTCCTGGGCAGTCTAGCCTCAAGGTTCCAGCTGCCTCTGAGTGTGGGTAGCCATGGCCAGAGTCTTGGATTCTTGCCACAGGACTGAAAAACTATATATCGGGAAAACTGTGTATTGGAAGTGTGTCTTCATGACATAGGCTAGGCTGGTCTCAGCAGAATTAGACCCAGGAATGTTTGTGCTTTAACTCTTTCTGGAATGTGGGGTATAGAGGGTATCAGGTGGGGCCTGTTGGGCTGAACCTGTGCTGCTTTTGGAAACCAGTCTTTGTGCAAGAGGGGACAGTAATTGGATCTTTGACGTGTGGGGTTTGATAACATCATGTCCTGTTTGATAAATTTCTCCTTGGGACGGCCCAGGGAAGTTCAGTGAATTTTAATATTTTTCTTTTTGGGGCAGAGGAGCCTCCATCTGCAACTGGGCCCTCCAACGTTTATTTTCTGAGCCTTGGCCTTCAGGGCTTGGTGGCTGGCAGCATGTCCCAGCAAGGCGCTCTGGCTCCTGCAGACTGCATACAATGTCGTCTTTCAGGGTCTGGGCTGGGCCAAATGTTCCTGGAGGGAAAGTGAATTGCACTTTCAGGAAGCTGCAAGAGGCCTGTGGCTCCAGTGATATGGAGGGGACTGTCCAGGTGACACTGAGAGTCTGTCCATCTGTCTCTCTGGCAGGTGGAAGAGTGTGCCCACCAGGAGGGACTCCTGGGACAACGGAGAGGGTGGTGTGTTGCTGGCTCAAGGCTTCTGGGCTGTGTTGGTTTGGATTGTCACTGATTTGCTTTTGTTTTTGTTTTGTTTTCTCTCCTTACTTCTGGGCTCATTCTCACCTTTTTCTCTCTCCCCCTCTCTTTTCCCTTCTCCCCGCCCCTCCCCTTCCCTTCCTACCTTTCCTCGCTCTCTACCCTCCCTGCCTCTTCTCTTGGTTTCTATTTTGTTGTCTCTCAGCTGGAGGTTCTGCACTACCGACTCAGTGTCTCCAGCGCCCTCCACAGCCCTGCCCAACCCAGCCTCCAGGCCCTCCACGCCTACCAAGTACTGGCCGTTACCATTTTGTTCTGTTTCACCCCTGCCCTGCAGTGTAAGCCACAGAGCTCATGTCAGTGCAGTGGTAAAGCAAGGGTCTGACCTGGGGCTTGCTGGGTGATTCAGAGATCAGTTCTGATCAGAGGGAGGCGTGTGCATGTGTGTGTGTGTGATTGTGTGTGTGTGTGTGCGTGCGTGTGTGTGCCTGTGAGTGTATCTCTTCCAAATGGCCCAGTGTCCAACTTTGAAGACTAACATGGACTTGAGGTCTGTGGTCATATGGTAGGGTGCAAGGCACAAGACCCTAGCTGATTGTGGGGTCACTGAATCTGAACCAAGTCCCAAAGCAGCTTAGATGTAACAAATTCTTGTGTGTTGGAAGACTCTTTGCTTGACCGTGGTTCAGAGGCATGGAATAGTGTGGACACCTGGGTGGCCCAGCTCACCAAGAGCGCAGGGCTGGCACTTGGCCACTGACTCAGGATACAGAAGCCCTGGGGCTTGTGGGTAGTATGGCTTTCTGTCTCCCCTGCCCACTCCTGTGGGGGTGGGAGGGGCAGCAAGAATGTGGGCCTTGGTCTCTCAGTCCAGAAATGCTGCTGGTCCCTAGGCAAACTGGGAGTCTGGTGGCTTTTGGCTTTGTGGAGACTGGTCCACTGATGCAAAAATGAGCAGTGTCTGGATGGATTTGAAGTCAGTGAGGTATAGTTCCACCCTCTCGGGTGCTTCAGGGCCAGTGGAATCTCCAGAGTTTACTGACTCATGAGCTGAGTACCAGGAAATCTGGGAGGGAAACATGCCTCTGAAGCTGTCCTTGTGGTCGGGGTCTGTCCAGTTCATGGTCTGTCCATGCTCGGTGAGAGCACATGACTTTGACTTTGGATTTGAACACAAATCCAGAAACCATGTTTTACTGAGTTGGGTGAGGAGCACAAACACAAAACACGGTCCTGCTCAGGAGCAGCAGCTCAATGCGGAGGGAAGGGAATGGTCCTCAAGGGGCCCTGTGGGCAGGTGGGGCACAGGTCTCACTTGAGTAAGAAGGGCCCCAGCGAAACCTCTAGGGTAGCAGGGTCTGACATCGCCGGGAGGCCAGTGCAGGGATGCCAGCCCAGTGAGAGATGCTCGGGCTTTGAGACAGTGTCCTCAGAAGTTGGTTGAGGCTGTGTGCGGCTGTAACCACAAATTCACAGTGAGGATCTGACTCACGAAGGTGGAAACTTGGAAGAAAAGAGTTTGATTTGAAAAAACCTGGAGAGGAAACAGCCTACGCAGGTTCCAGTGTGATTGCTGGGATGTGCATCTGGGAGCCTGGCCCAGCAACACCACAGAGGGCCAGGCTTGCCAGTTGCCACCTGGAAACTACCCTGAGACGAAGGGACAGTTACTGGGGTCAGGGCAAGGGGACAGGAATGAGGAAGGGGGATACTTCCAGGCAGGCCTGGTGTTTATTATAATGAAAATATCTTATGCTTTTTTCTTCAAAATTATGAATCATGGTACAGGGATTTAAAATACAGAAAAGCATTAGATTGCCCCATGACCCATAGTTCCATTCCTAGACACAGACACCAGGGTATGTCACCTGGGCCTTTGGAGGTATTTCCATGGCAGGTAGACCTGCATGGATGGTGCCCCTGGTAGCAGCTGTCCATCGTCCTCTGTGATGGGTCTGCTGCACCCCAGGGGTGCCAGGAAGCATGACCTGCGTGCTTAATATGCTCAGAATCTGGATGAGACTGCCAAAAGCTTCTTCATAGTTTGTTGGGGCCTAAGAGGGCAGGGGGATGCGGGGGGTGAGGAAAGAACTTTATCAGTCTGGATACTTCAGAGCCTGAAAGTGGGACGAGGCGCTAGGGACTAGATCCTGCCTTCCAGTGCCTTCCTCCACCCCTCCCTCTATACTCCATCAGTGGGCCTGGGTCTCGAAGATCCTACATAACCTTTGTGAACCAGAAATTGGGTCCACAGGATGGAGGGTGCTCTGTCTTGGGGGTTGTACTGACCCCAGGTTCATTAGCAGTGGAGGAAGGGCCACCCAGGGCTGAGTCCTGGTGAGGGGGCAGGTGTGAGGGTTGATGTTGCAGCTGCTGAGGGCCCCCCAGTAAGCTGTCCACACCCTCAGGAGGCAGACAGAGGCCCTGCATTCAGTCTTAGGGAGGGGTGCCGGCCTGCTTAACCCCCTAGGACCAGGGTTGGCGTCAGTGACCCAGTGACCTGAGTCACCCACAGAAGGTGCAAAGTGCTATTCGGTGCACACGGGAAAACCCTGGCAGATTTGCCTATTCTGGGGAGCTATCTAGGGTGCATTGCAGGGCTCACTGCTTCTTATTAGGTCTCAGGCTGCGTAGTGCAAGGCTTGCAGCCAGGGGCCAGGCACCAATAGGTCCTGAGAGGGACCCACTTGAGCTGAGCTGCGCATCCTGTGAGGAGAGGTGGGCATGGGGGAGGGGTGGGGATCTGGGCAGACTTGGCGCCTAAGCACTGGGCCCTGATGCTGCTGCCCCCTCCACCTTAGGAGTCATTCACACCCACAGAAGAACATGTGCTGGTTGTACGCCTGCTGCTCAAGCACCTGCACGCCTTTGCCAATAGCCTGAAGCCAGAGCAAGTTTCTCCGTCCGCCCACTCCCATGCCACGAGCCCGCTGGAGGAGTTCAAACGGTGGGTGTGGCCCAGCCTGTGTGCAGGGCTCTCAGTCCCTGGCCCTTCCTGGTGGATGCCCAAATACTGCCTCCAATGACTTCACCCAGGTGTGGGGCAGTGCATGAGGAGGCAGTGAGTGAGATTTCTCACTCCTACGCTGGCCCCCCAGTCACGGCTCCAGAGGTTGGCGGGGCTGCCTGGCTGCCTCTCCAGCCTTCTGCAGTAGAGCGAGCCAGCCTGGCCGGGGAATGCCTTCATAACAAAATGACTCAGTGGTCAAGGTTGAGCTGTGCTGATTCCTTCTTCCTACTTTTTCTCCCTCCTTTTCCTCTGTCAGGAGGAAAGCTGGGGATAACAGAACAGGTAGCTTGAGTGGGGCAAGCTGAGATGAGGTGCCTCATAAGTACTGTACACCCTTGGGATGTTCCCTGTCCTTTCAGAAGGGCATCATCTGGTGGAAGGGTTCCAGTTCCTCGGGTTTTCTCTGAAGAATGGAGCTAGAAGTAGTCCTTAACTCTATGGGTTGCTTGGTGTTCACCTGGCAGAGCCAGCCTTTGTAGATGAACACTTCTAGCCTTTCCTGCAAGGTGACCCTCCCCCTCCCCCTGCAGGGCTGCTGTCCCCAGGTTTGTTCAGCAGAAGCTCTATCTCTTCCTGCAGCACTGCTTTGGCCACTGGCCCCTCGATGCGTCATTCAGAGCCGTAAGTGCTATCCCATCATACCTCGCCTTTACCTCTGTGCCCTGATGAGGGTGAGCCTGTGGTGCAGAGGTTGGAGGGAACTGGCTGCTCCCTCAAAGGTTCTGCCTTCTTGAATTTTCAAGGTCAAACCTCAGATACAGGAAAAACTCATTCAGCCCTGACCTTGAACCTTGCTGCCAGTGCTACATGAGTTCCTACCCACTCTGAGCTACACTCAACTCCCTCAGCTGGGCAAAGTGAGCTCGGTGATTCTTGCTTCTAGGGTGGTGTGAGGGTCAGATGGAAATAGGGTGTGACAAATTTCTGTGCCCTCATGGGGAGTATGGGGGCCACAGGCCGGGGTCAGCATCTGGCAGCACACCTGGAAATCCAACTCTAGGCTGGCCAAGGATTTGGTCTGAAGCATCATTGCTAGTTATCCCAACTCAGCACTCATCTCATCAGGTGCTGGAGATGTGGCTGAGCTACCTGCAACCCTGGAGGTATGCACCTGAGAAGCAGACTCAGAGCAGCGACACTCAGGCCCGGGCTGTGTCGGAGAGATGGTGAGCCTTGCCGCCCTGACCCCACCCAAGGGACCTGAGTTGGGCCTTCTGGGGCTCTTTTCCAAGGGCCTGCTAGGTAGGAGCACAGGCTGCCCTCCCTTGCTTGACTATGCTATGTTTATTGCACCTGGGCTCTGGGACCAACTTCCTGCAGAAACAGTAGGTGGCCCTCTTCCCCTCTGTCCTGCCCTGTTCCTATTCCCTTTTAATGTGGACTCACATTCAGCCCCTCAGCCACTCCTCAGCCCTTCCACACCAGCTCTGCACAACAGTAGCTGACCCCTCCATCATCTCCTGAGTGTCCCCAGCCTTCCCTTGGCATCTGCTCCTTGAATGCCTTCCCCTATGAACCCTTCTGACGCCTGAACCAGCCTCACCATGGTGGCCTTGATCTTCTCAGGCAAGAGTCTGTTTTTCTCAGGGGTCTTAGGTCCCTCCTGCCTCTGTTCTACTGTCCCTTGCCCACATCCAGACCCCTTCAGCCGCCATTCCTGGCACCTCCATGAGATGGATATTGGGGAGATTCTGGAACCCAGTGAAAAGCAGGGGTGTCATGGGGCTGTGACCCTGCCCTTCATGAAAGGTCTAGCCCTGACACACTGCCCCACCTCCAGGGCACCCTTTGTGCAGGAGAACCTACTGATGTATACCAAGCTCTTTGTGGGCTTCCTGGGCCGTGCACTCCGTACCGACCTGGTCAGTCCCAAGAACGCGCTCATGGTGTTCCGAGTGGCCAAAGTCTTTGCCCAGCCCAACCTGGCTGAAATGATCCAGAAAGGTGAGCCTCTTAGCCAGTCAGAAACAGCACTCAGAGAGGCCCCCAGAGACCTGCGAGCGTGATGCAGGGTTCCTGGTGTGTTGTAGCAGAGCAGAGGTCTGATTCTGGTTGTACCCTGTCTTCCCCATGGCTTACAGGCTGAGCTGAGGAATTGCAGGAAGGAGGATTAGCCATCTCCCTGATGCTTGTGCTAATGACATCAGGAGGCAGTCTTGGTCCCTATCATATTTGTCTGAGCCAGCTTTGTTGTGTGCTGGCTTATCTTTGGAGTTTCAGATCTCCACAGTTATATTGGCTAAGGCTCCAGGAGCATCAGGAGCTTGTCTCTTGTGCTGCATAGCCCCAACCCCTTAGAAACTTCTAAAAGCATCCAGAAAGCCTTCCAGCAGTGACTGAGTATTCTGTGCCCTTGGAAACTGAAGCCAGGCTCACATCCTGCTCACATTCCCTTGTCACCTGCCTTGCAGGCGAGCAGCTCTTCCTAGAGCCTGAACTTGTCATTCCCCACCGCCAGCACCGACTCTTCACAGCTCCCACGTTCACCGGCAGCTTCCTGTCATCCTGGCCTCCAGCTGTCACCGACACCTCCTTCAAGGTGAAGAGCCATGTCTACAGTCTGGAAGGCCAGGACTGCAAGTACACTCCGATGTTTGGGCCTGAGGTCCGGACTCTGGTGAGTGAGTAGGGACTCCACTGAAGCCCTGGGCCATCCTGAAGTTCTGAGGCAGCAAACCAGGGAGGGTTGGGTTTGAAATATTGCTACTTACACCTGCCTTTTTATTTTTTTTTCAGTGATTTTTATTTATTTTTCTGATAGTAAAGATGGTGTTTGTTGCCAAAGTTTCACATTTAGAATATTCAGTCCTTAGTTTCTAAAGGTTCTTTCTCATCATATGGAAGGCACCTGTCCTGGCCCCTCTCGGGTATCCGAGGCTACCCACTGCTCTATTGATAGCCAGACACGATGAGACTAGCCCCCTATGTCAGCTGATCACACCTTCTCTGCCCCTTAGGTCTTGCGCCTGGCTCAGCTCATCACGCAGGCCAAGCAGACTGCCAAGTCCATCTCTGACCAGTGTGGGGAGAGCACAGTCAGCCGCCCCTTCCTGTCATGGCTAGGCCTCTGCTCTGTGGACACAAATGGCTCCTACCCAGGCAACGATCTGGATGACATGGGGCAGGACAGCATCCGCAAGACAGACGAGTACCTGGAGAAGGCCTTGGAGTACCTGTGCCAGATGTTCCGTGTATGGGCTGTAGAACTGTCCTTTCCCTGATCTCGGTCCAGCAAGCCTCATACCAGGAGATGCCCCTGTACCATTGTGTCTGGGTTTCCTTGTGACTGTGAGCGGCCTGGGGGTGGGAGGCGCAGTGGTTTGTGAAGGCCATTCTCCCTTCACCTTGAAACTGAAAGCTGATCCTCTCTGACAGCTCAGCGAGGCCCAGCTTGCCCAGCTCACACTTGCCTTGGGGACAACGCAGGATGAAAATGGAAAGAAACAGCTCCCAGACTGTATTGTAGGTGAAGATGGACTCATACTCACACCCCTGGGCCGGTACCAGGTAAGACCATGGAGGGGTCTGGCCTGGGCAGCATGGCCTTCCTGAGGGTTTGCTGGCCTGCACTGTCTCTCCTCCCATAAGCAGAGACAGCTTCTCTGAGTTTATTGGCAAAGGTAAATTTTCTGGTCGTCCTCCGGAGTTTTACAGGGACTTGCCTCTCCTCCCACTTACAGATCATCAATGGGCTTCGAAGGTTTGATATCGACTATCAGGGGGACTCGGAGCTGCAACCCATCCGGAGCTATGAGAGCCCCAGTCTGGTTCGTGTACTCTTCCGCCTGTCATCTGCCATCAACCAAAGAGTGAGTATAGGCCACAGGGTGGTACTTCGCTTTAGCACCCTCTGAACAGCCCTGCCAATCTAGGAGAGGCAGGTGGAGACTGCCCCCGAGCCTGCTGCCCACTCCCACTGTGCCTATGTGCTCTAGTTTGCAGGTCAGATGGCAGCCCTGTGTTCCCGGGCCGACTTCCTCGGCAGCTTTTGTCGCTACCACCTCACAGAGCCTGGGCTGGCAGACAAGCACCTGCTGAGCCCCGTGGGGCGAAGGCATGCAGCCAGTCAGGTCCGCGGCCCCAGACTCAGCCTGCGCTTCCTGGGCAGCTACCGGACGCTGCTGTCATTGCTGCTGGCCTTCTTTGTGGCCTCTCTCTTCTGCGTTGGGCCATTGCCCTGTGCCCTGCTTCTCATGCTTGGCTATCTCTTCTATGCTGTGGCCATGACGCTGCTAACCGAGCGGGGCAAGCTGCACCAGCTTTAACCAGGGGCCAGTGGCTATCCCTGAGCAAGCGTGTGGCATGGCCACATGACCCCAGCCCTGCACCTGGGAGGCCACATCCAAGGTATAATACAGTCACCTTCTAGCTTCTAGGGCTATTTTCCCAGAGCCATGGAGCCACCCAGAAGAGAACTTGAAGTGAGAAGGGCAAGGTCCAAACTTGTGTCAGAAGGCCTAGGACCCAAGCCAGGGAAAGGGCCTGCCTGAGCCAGACACTGGCTCTCTGTCCCTCCTGCCTTCTGCTGGAGGTCGTCAGTGAGGTACCTAGAGGCCTGGCTTTTGTTTAATCATCTTAGGATTTAATTGTGTGAAGCTCAGGAGTGAGTCAGGCCTCAGCTGTGTCATCTGCCATGGCTGTCCATGAGGTGGGCAGAGTGGGCATCCTCTCCCCGGACGATACTGAGACAGTAGTTCATGTCTCCAGCTCCAGGAAAGAATTAAAGACCCTAAAAGGACCCTGAGAAGATTAGATAAGCTTCTCTTCTGATTTCATGATTTTTAAGGCCAAACTTTGCCACCATGGTTGTTAAAGTGAGTATTGTCCTTTCTGTTCTCCCAGCTTTTCCAAGCCTGGGCTGTCCAAATTCACTCTTGGAGAGACAACATGTCTGTGGGGCACTGCTTCTCTGGCTCCCTTCCTACTCCCCTGCTGTTGAGAGTGTCACTCAGCTCGTCCCTGGGCAGGCTGGTGGCACTGCCAGCACCTTTTCAACAACCAAAGATGGTCAAAGCATTACTTTTTATCTTCAGTAAAATTGAGTGCTCAAAGACAGTAGCTTTTGATAACAGATACTCAGTCTACACAATTGCATGTTCACTATCAGAAACCCCATGGGTTCTCATATACTTTTCATCCTATAGATGGCATACCAGAGAGAACTTTCAAAAAGAGATTATAACAACGCTTTTCTGTTTTCAAGCTAAATGTTGGACTTTGTATTTTGACATAAACTCAGAATAATGGCTTTCCACAGCCTGTGGCCAAAAATCAAGTCAACCTCATAACCCTCTGTGTAGCTGAATAAACTCCATCATGCTCCTGGTGCCTGGGAGGCTACCTAGTCACGCACAGTACCCCCCCCGTGCTGGGACTGCGGTGATGGCCCTGACTGCCCTGACCTTCCTCACCCAGGGTGTGCTGGACTCACAGCAGCAGCAGTGGGCCCATGCAGATTTAAACATGAATGGCCATTGTGGAAAAGGACCTGGGTTGGTTGGGCCTAAGTCATGCCACATTTGCCTTGTCAAATTAAAGTTGACTTTAATATGAAAAGCAGGTGATTTTGCCTTTTCTGTAGCTTCTGGAAGCTCAGAGGGTTGTGTCTATATGGGAACTGACTGCTTAGATCCAAGTGCTTCACCAGCTCTTCCTGATCTGAGTGTTAATTGTGCCCCTTTCCTGGCATGACGGCTACTTGAGTCCCATTTGGTGGAAATAGAAAACAGGACATAGTTTAAATGATGGTTTACTGTCAGATATTAATGGCATAGTGTTTCCCCACTCCCTCTTCCCAGTTTCCTCGGTGTCTACCCTGTTCACAGCTTCACTCCTCCATCCCTTACATGCCTTTCTTACCCACATTTCTCTCCACTTGTAAACATTTCCCAACACCTTGCAAAGAAAATCCTCCATTAACAGAAACACCTTCAGCTGCTGTGGGGTCATTGGGGACCGCTTATTACCCTGGGATCTCTTGCTGAGTCCTAAAGAGCAGACTGTAAGGTGTTTGCTCAGCAGCAGGTGCTAAAGCTGGAACTGTCAGAGGTTTGCACAGTTCCTGCATGAGGGAGTGTAGGGTAAATGAATTAACAGGATTTTTGTGCCACGATCTTCTGGCTTTCACTGGCAGCCTAGATCTTGTTAACACTTGAGAGCATGGGCCTGATTTGGACTCCTGGATAGGAGTGGACAGGCATGTGTTAAGTGCACACGTGAGCCTAGAGGCCAGGGCTAGAAGGGCAGCATCACTCGAAGCTACAAGAGGACAAGTGACCACAAAAGGCAAAACGCCAGAGAGACCAGAGAAAGTAAATAATAAAAGATACACTTGCCTGCCTCCCTGCCCGCCTCCCCTGCCTGTGCCTGCCTCCTTGCACGCCAGCCTCCCTGCCTGGAAGCCTGTGTACGTGGTTCCCTGAAAGAGCATCAGAGCCTGAAAAATCCACCGAGGGCTCTGGGACTCTGTCTGTCTGCCCTAGTGGCTAGTGAACCTGCTCTGTGGGTGCTGGCACTGGAGGGTGACTGTAAGGTAAATGGAAGTGCTCAGGTTTTTCTGCTCTTCAGCAATTAGCATCAATGATCCACACCTGTGGTCTGTCCTCTGCCAGTGCGCCTGATGACGACAGTGCCTGGAACATGGAGTGGGCACACCTGAGTATATAAGGGCAGCAGCAGAGTGCAGGGCAGGGGCACAGTGGAGACCAGCAAAGAAGCCACAAAGTGAAGATTCGCCGGGGACTGGGAGGCCTACTGGCCTCTGGGTCCCCTGGGCCCCCTGCCTGCCCTGCACCGGTTGCTTCACTACCAATGGTGTAGAACGATCATTAAAAGCCTGAAAAAGCCACTGAGGGCTTCAGAACTTTATCCATCTGCCTGGATCATAGAAAACCTGATCTGTATCTTGCTGGTGCTACAGTGACTCAAATTTGTAAAGTCCGTATTTTGGGATTTAGATCAAGGTGTTGCTAAAGTGTATAGAAAGCATGAGATTATAAGTGAAAAACTATTGTTTTAATAGAAAAAGAAAAAAGGACATTGTATAGGAGGCAGTCACAGTGGTGGGTTTTGTGATGATGCTGGGGATGGCAAGAAGCCCTGGCGTAAACCTGGGGAGCCCAGAGCTGCCAGTGAGAGCAGTGGGGACTGAGTTTCACACTAAGTTTTCTGACAAGGAATGGGAGGTCGTGAGTGGTGTCTCAAGGAAGCAAGGGGCTGGGAGGCAGCAGTCAGCCATATCCTGAAATTAACTCAAGAAGAGGCTGTTGGCCCTGGTTTAGGAAGACCAGGCAGGAACTGGCAATTCTCACCCTCCCTTTCCATCCCTCTGCCCTGGGAGCCACACGAGTGTGTAGCTGCCTCCATTGTCAACTCCCACTGTTAGGGGGAAAAGATGTGCTGAACGAACTCTGCAGATACAGATTTTGTGGACTCCACCCCTTAACTCCAGTCACTGAAACTACAACTCTCAATACCAAAGGGAGTACTGCGAGGACCCAAGTTTGTAGCTAAGCAACCATTTTGAGACTTTTGGGGATATATAGAGGAGCCATTTTGAGCTGAGGTTCTCTCACTTTCCCTTGGCCTAGTGGCTGGTGGCTAGTGGCTTGGCACTTCATGAGCTTTCAGTGTGCTACTGGGGCTCCAAGTCAGTGGAACTGAAAGGATGCTCTAGTTAACTTGTATCTCTCTCTCTCTGGTTTGTTCCTTTTCCTTTCCTTTTGTAAATAAATCCATTATTGACCCTTTGTGTGTGTGCCTGCAGTATAATTAAATTTCAAGGTGAGAATGCCATGTGAGTCACCTGCCAGCCAGGGATTGAACTTGTGCTGAAGCGGCTGTGGCTGGCTAGTTTTGCAGACCTGCGCTTTAACCTGTTGGCCACCAGAGAGGGCCCAGCTCTTTATGTTCACGTTTGTCCTGTTTGGGGATCAACAATTTGTCCTGTGATCGCAGTTCTCTTATGGAGCTAAGAAATGTTCATTTTCAGTTTATTTGCTTTTTTTCTTATGAACACAAGTGGGACAGGTTCCAAGCAGGACAGAGTGGAGACCAGACCAAGCAGACTGACGAAGTACACTGCTGAGGGAAGCAGTGGGAGAGACAGGAGAGGTCCGCTGCGCCATGTGGGCCACTTCCCTGGCCAGGATTGAAGTGCTGTGATGAAGTGGTGCGGCTGCTGCCAGCTTTGCAGTGCTACACTTTAACCCGTTGCACCAGCTTAACCCCTTGCACCACCAGGGAGGGCCCATTAATAATCTCATTTTGATTAACTTTAGAAGGCTGACACCAGTTTAAAATACTTTTGTGGGCCTCCCTCTGGTGGTGCAATGGGTTAAAGCGCCACATTATGAAGTTCTCCAAAGCCACTACAGCACCAGTTAATCCTTGGCCAGGGAGCTGACCCACATGGCATGACAGACCTCTCCTGACCAGCCTATTGCTCCCCTGAGCAGTGTACTTTGTCAGTCTGCCTGTTCTGCTCCCCACTCTGTCTCTGGTGAATCCTCTCACCCACCACACCTTTAGCCTGTATTCCAGTTCTGTAAGCATAAATAAATCTTAAAAAAAAAAAAAATACTTTTGCTTCTATGTATGAAGGTTAAAGAAATATTTTCCGTATAAAATACAGCAGCAACCAATTTCATAAAGTAAAAATAAAAACTCAAATTCTTCCTGAAATAATCCTAAATGGCATTTAGGCTGTACTGACATCATGACAAACCAAAGTGTAAGATAAGGGTTGGCTTTCTTTCATTTTCTTTTCAATATTCAGTGCTCATGGATTACATTCTGAAGATGTTCCAAGGGTAAGGCAGGGGACTGTTTGGATTCCCCCATGGTCCTTGGGTTGGATAGTGGAGGGTGAGACACATTTCTCCAGAACCATGTTGACGTATCAGTAGTCATCAAGGTAAAAAAATTTCACATGTCATCCATTTTGTGGGCCAGAGTCAGTGGAAGCTTCTGCAGGAATTGAGTGGGAAGATTCACTAGAAGGTATGTGGATTTAAGCCTCCACGTTTCTAACCCAAGATTTTTTTTAAAATAATATGTTTAT